ATATTATATATATATATTCTACATTTGTATTTACATAAAATATTCTTATATACACAATGTAATATATATTGTATAATATAATATAGTATATATATATAATGTAGTATAATTTATCTTAGGTCCAATTGGTATTCGATTTCGTATATGTACTTAAACTATATTTCTCCAAAAGGAAAAATGAAAATTATTAATAAATTTTTATAACTTTTCTTAAGATTATGTTTCAGTAACAATACGTATACCAAAAAGAATAAGTGTCTGTCAAGGACTCTGCTTAGGTGCTACTCAAGAAAATTAATTTAATTTGGCAGGTAAATTAATCATTTTGGAAACTAACTCAAAAGGTTAAGGGTTTAACAGAAGCATGTTAAAAAAATACTTTTCGGAAACCTATCAAAATTTTTTTTGCATTCTTGTAAAGTATAAAAATTAATCAAAACATTTTTTGAAATTTAAGAGTATTATTTACTTATTTAGTTAGAACTCAAGAGAAAATATTAGTGATTAATGTATTAAACTTATAAATACAATATCTATAACATTAGTGGTCTAACCTACATTCACAAAATATATATGTACCATCTTTTTATTTATCGGATATGAAATTAAGACTTTTATACAGCAGTTGACAAACAATGTACAAATTAGTATATTAGTTTTTATAAATAAATGTTTCCTTTATAAATAAATATTTGAGCACTTAACTGTCAGTACAGATGAAAAGATATAAATAAATCCTTCTACATAATCGAAGGAGAATGAGTTTGACAGAAAATAAAAATTAAACTTGACATAAAATTTAAGTTTAAGATGTACATATAGTGCTATATAATAAATCAAGTAAAAAAGAAAAATGAATTATATTGATTTTTTGTTTCAATTCTATAAATACATATATAATATTCACTTTCAACATTATCAATCCTAATCTTATAACAATCCAATTTTGTGATGTTACACAATCCGTAAACAACCGGTAGGGCCAATCTAAATTTTTTCTATTTCCGAAACTAAAGCTTTCACTTTAAGGAATTTATAATGTTCGAAAAATGAGATAAGAAAAAATAGACATTGGTATATTCATTAGATCCTACTTTGAGATGAGAGTCTGATTGATTGTTTTTTATTTGTGTTGTATTAAATAATTCGGGTACTTTTAATGTAGAATGCAATATACTGTATAGCAAAGAAATATTTACAAAAAAAGAGTTTCTTATTTTCAATAGTGGTATCTACTTATCACAACAAGTCTGTTTTATGTTTAACTATAGCATATGTCGTTTAAGACTGACTGTCACTGATATATAACTATCAACTATTTCTATTCTATTATTATAATTATTATAAAATATTTCAATGTTTTTAAATATAATTGTAATGAATATTTTAAATATTTAAATATATATGCCTTATTCTTTATATAATATATATATATATTCTGTATATAAAAAATTTATTTATATGTATGCAATAATTTTTTTATATTTTCTAATCTCATAGCATATATTTACTGCTTATATCTTTAATTAAGATAATGCTTTTCTTTTATATATTTTAGCTTTTTACTGATCATTTTAATTTAGAATTATTTTAACTTAAATAAAAATAATAGTATTATTAAAATAGTAGTATTTGCTAAATTTTATTTAAATTTTATTAAAACTGAGTTAATTATTGTATATAAATTTCTAGAATAATAATTATATTATTAACTCAAATGATTTTTAATAATAATCTTATAGTGTTTTATTATATGTGTTTTCGAATTTGAATGAATTGAAAATTTTTTTAATATATAGAAACATTGGTTTTCTTTTATTTTTTTCTTCCGCACATACAGAGGAACAATGGGAAAAAGATTTAGAGGCTGAATTAAAGGATTACGAAGTGGTTAGTGAAAGTGGTGGTGATGGAGGCGGCGGCATTGGTACATTAACAAGTATCAATATTGGTGCGGATACTGACGACGAATTACCGACAATATCAAATCTGCGCACACGTTCAACAAACAACGACTGGGAAGAAATGGCCGATCTCATTGAAGATACCGATGATTTAAAGTAATTAAGAGTTTATATCGTAGTTTCTTCTAAGTTTGGCTATTAAGTTATAATAACAATTTTCTACTTTGTTTCTTATAATTCATTTAAATATATATATACAATATAATATATATACATATATATCTAAATACTTTTGTGTGCTTTTTTGCAATATTGTTTAAATATAGTTTTATGTAACTTTATATTAACTTTATGTCCATTTTAATTCGTAATATTTTTTATCTTCTTTTTCTTGCTTTCTCTTCACTACCGGTAAATTCTATTTTTTACTTTATTCAATATTATTTTCTTAAACTAAACTCTTGCAAAATTATTTAATTTTTAATAAATATTGCTCTAAAATTAAATATAAAATTCTTAATATATAAATAAAAATTGTTGTATTTTGAAATTAAATAATTAATTTTTTATATGATTCTTCACATATAATTTTTGATTTAGAACTTTAAAAAGCTTAAAACGTGTTATGCTGGGTTATCAATGAGATCAGGGGTTTTTTACAATTTTTTAGTTCACATATTTTTATAATAAAATATTAAGTTAATTTGTAATTCATCAAAAATTAAATTAATTTTTAATTAATTTAGTAATTAAATAATTACTAAATCATTTATTGAAAAATATTGTATTCTAATTATGAAAAAATCTAAAATCAAGTTCTTACTTATATATACCATTCCATAAAAAATACATTAAAGTATGTTTTAAGCTAATATATGTTAAATTATATTATAATTGTTTTTTCTTATTTGTACAAACAGAATAATTGGTCAAAAAAAAAATTTTTTTTTGTACATACAACACATATAGCTATTTGCGAAAAATATATAAAAGGATTTTTATTCTAAATACTTTAAAAAAATATTTTTTTTTAATGACTGTTATGAGAAACTACTTTTATGTGTTTTTATGGATAAAAAAAATAAATTTATTGAAACAATTAATATTGAATATTGACCACAATATACAAATAAGGACTTTTTTTATTAACATTATCATCTGTTGGAAGATTTAAACGAAAAAAATTTTGTTCAAAGAATAAACATATGGTAAAATAATTATTTATAAACTTTTACAAGTTTAAATAAATTTTTGGCATTCTGCGTAAAATGCATAAATTTTTTTGTTTAAATCATAATAATTCATAAAAATTTAAATTATTTAATATATTATTTTATGTAAATTTTTTTAGTGAAAGTAATTATTTAATTTCAATATTACAACAAAAAATAAATCTAATCATTTTTTCTTATAAATACAAAAAAAAAATTTTTTGAACTATAACTAAAACCGATTGTTCAACACACAAAATATGTTACAAATTATTTGAAATAAAAAATAAAATTAATTAAAATTAATTTAAATTGGATAAAATTAAATCATAAATAAACATATTTAAATTTGATAAAATTAGTGTGAGAAAAATAAACGATAAAAAAAGCTTCAAAGGGAAAAACAACAATTTTTGTTATTTTATATTAAAAACATATATTTATAATTATACAATTATTATGATTATTATTATTATTATAATTATTACTATTACTATAATTAAAAATTAAATGCATTTGAATGTAATGTGTATAAATAAATATATAAATTATTATATTAAAAACTATATAAAACTATGTAAAAACTAATTTTAAATATATTTAAAAAAGATTTTAAGTGGAAGTTAAATATTTAAATTTTGTTTTTGTTTTAGCAACAGTAAATAATAGTTGACACAATAAAACAAAACTCACAGTTGAATATATATATATAAATATATACATATATATACTAAAAATATATTTATATGAAAATAGTATAAATGGAGTTTAAAACAAAAAAGTAATTGCTTTAAATGAGAATAGTTGATATTAATAAAACAATGATTAAAAATTATAATAGTTTTTCGCAACAATATGTAACAATATTTTAATTGTAATTTAAAATAAAATAAAATATTTAAAAAATTTAAATTTGTTTGTTTTTTTTGTGCAATTACACAAAAGTCGCATAAAACTGTATATAACTAAAAAGTAAGATAATAGAGCGTTTGTAAGTAATAAATAAAATACCTAAATTAATTTAAATAAATTTTGTTATTAAAACTTTGTAATGCTGTTTTACTTGGCGCATGTCTCAGTTAATTTATTGTAACTACTTTAATTTTTTTTTCTTATATATATTTGTATACATAATTTTACATCTTAATATATTTTTTTATTTATATAAATTTCTTTATATCTTCTATTTTTATATTAATTTTTTATGCATTTATAAAACACATATACATATTATTATTTTTTATAATTAATAAAAGTGATTTAACAACTTAAAAAAATGTTATTTTTTTCATAATAAACTTATATAGAAATAATAAGGATAACTTCATTAAAAATTTATTTTTATTTATTTATTTTTTATAATTAGTTTTTTCTTCACTTTATAGATTCCTATATAATGTGTATAACCTTATTAAAAAATTATTTTGATTTAAATTAAAATTTATTTTTTTAAATTTATTTTAATTTCAATAATTAATTTTTATTACAAAATATAATCTGTATTACTATAAAATAATAAATAAAAATTAATTTATTAAAAATGTTTTTGCAATATGCGTAAAAGCAAAAATTAAATTATAAAATAAAAATAAATGAAAAAATTACATATTTACATAAAATTATATTTTTATGTGTAGCACCAAAAAATGGTTAGTGCATTAAAGTACTAATTACTTTCTAATTACCTCATTTGGAAGTGACGGATACTTGTAAGATATTATAAGCAATATCTTTATTAAAATGTCTCTTTGAAAAAATATTCATTAATTAATTTAGAATGGAATTTTATTTTTTATCGTGCTTTAGGATTTTCAACAATTCCAAATTAACAGTATCTATTAAATTTAATAGAAAATTTGACTAAATTTAATTTTAAAAAATTAATTATGTATTAATACACTCTTCTTCAAAAATTTAATAATTTCTTGATTTTAAATGTGCATAACTTTATTGTGTCTATATATTTTAGAAGATTGAGAATCTTGAAAACAATTTATAAATAGGCCAAGATCCGTTTCGAAACGCTGGTGCAGCAGAAACATATTTTTTTGTGCTACATGATGTTATAATTAGTTTTTTTTATATGATAACTATTTGAACCTATATTCATATATTTGTGTTATTATACATATAGATATTTCAAATATATGATTTTCATTTTATAAAATGACTATTATTATAATTTATTATATTATTTTTATATATTATTATTATAGTTGTATTTATTATGTTACTTTTTTTACATTTATTCTTTTGTTTATAGCTTTATTATATATTTTATTAAATAAATAATTCATAATTCAATTTTTTATGACACAATCTTAAACACTTAATGTATCAGAAGCACAACTTATAATTCATTTATCCTATTTCTTTAAAATATCATATTTAATTTTTAATGTTATATTACTTAATAATATCTCTAATTATAGTATAATAATATTCATTTAATTTGCAATTTGCTATTTTATATATATTTAAATGATATTATTAAAATGATAAATATTATTTGTTAAATTTTTAATTTAGATTATATTTTGTTTTTCATTATATAAAATTTGAATTTCTGCATAAATGTTTAATATTTGTTAAATCACAAATATTTTTGTAGTAGCTATACTCATGTTTATTAAGTTAATATTATTATTAATTATTATTTTTTGTTTTTAAATAATAATGCGAGAAATTTCAAAAATAAATTAATTCAAATTTTTTAAGCTGTATTATTAAATTAAATTAATGCTTTATTAAATTAATGTATATAATTTTATATTTGTTAGAATTTATCATTTTCATTTTTTAGAACTATTGCTCGATTATTTTATAATTATTATCTATTTACTAAAAAAATTACTTTCTTATAATTAATAATGATTTTAAAATAATATTACTCTTACGCTCAACATTTATTAAACAATAAATTCTAAAAAAAAATTCTGCATTTTCTTATATCAGATATTATGTTAAAAATTAAAAATATTTATATATAAATATATGTTAATGTTTAACTTTTAATATACGAGTAATAAAATTATTGTTAATTAATATTTTCACTCTAAATGTCTAACTTTAATTGTTAAAACTGAAATATTAAAATTTTTACTAAATGTGAAACTATATATTAGATATAAATTTATTTAATAAAAAACAAATTTAAATATAATTTGAAAAAATTAAAATGAAAATTCATAAATAATATAACTAACAATTGCATAAAAAGCATGGAATAACAATGCATAATATTTGTGTAAATTATACATTTTAATTTCAGACTATACAATAATATGTATATTTAAAATATTATATTTATATATTATAATTATTATTAAATTTAGCAAAAACTACTGTGAATTCAATTCATTTTTAAATTAAAATGATGATTTTAATTAAAAAATATAAAATAAACTATCATAATCATACAAATAATATCACTAAATAATAATATTTGTATACATTAACGAGCAATTATAATATATATTAAAGTTATTATTGTTATAATCATTGAAGTATATAATTTTAATAATAAACTAAAAGCAAATGTTAATATATACACAATCTAAATATTTATATAAAGCAAGTAATTCTTTATATTGTTTTCAAAAGTTTAAAGCAAATATATTCTTATTTTATTTATCTTATTAAAATATATTTGTCTAATCAAACTTTCTCTATGAATCTTTAATTTTTAAAAATAATTTTATGATTTTTAAATAAATTTATAAAATGTTTCGATTTTAGTAAACAATTTTTAAAAAATAAATAAACTTTAAAAACCATAAACCATAGAAGAAAAATTCATTAAACTTCATTGAAAATGATTAAAAGGGATTTAATACAATAAATAGCAGCAAATATAAATAAAATTAAAAAAATGTTTTTGAAATATGCAAGATAAAAGTTCAAATATCTTAAGCTATTATTTATAGAAAGTACTTCAATGAACATTCAATTAATACTCACTTACCTGTAGTAACAGCAGAAAAACATGACATTTTATTAAATCTGTTAGAAAAGAACTAAAACAATTAATAAAGGGAATATAATAGAGAACTATAAAATAAATAAATGATAATTAAACCAATAACAATAAATAAAAAATGGGTTTTATTTCTCATAAATTCTGATTTTTTAACACCAAATTTATTTTTATGAAAATATTGTATACACAAGAGACTGAACAAAATAAAGAGAAGAGAGACTATCTACAAAATGACTAGTTGAGGAATATATCTAGGCACTGACAGCAACGAAATCAGCTGATTACTAACTTTGGAAAGCTACAAGAAAATTAAGATAACCTGCCGATCAATTAGCGTCTTACCATTTGTAAGCAAAATGTTTGATTCTTCTATAAACTAAAACCAGTAATTGCTACTAATATATTATTAGTGAACCACTAATAGGATTTCAACAACAACATGAAACTTGAATATATTCATAGAGATTACTTAACCATCCGTACTGCAATACAAAACAGTACACA